AAATTTTCATTTTTGGGTGAACTATCCCTTTAATTATGATACTTCAACTTAAACATATTCAATTAGATGCCAAGGCAACATTTCTAATTTTCATTTAGTTTTTTCATGTAATATTTATATTTTATTGTATTTTAGCTTTATTTTAACTAATGACAAAATGTTTAATAGTTATAGTTATAATTAACAATAACACTGATTCCTAAACTCTGCTCATAAATGTATAGTGCAAAATTGGTAAGATATTTCTAAATGTTAAAATAAGAAGAATCTCTAAAATTCATAAATTATATTCCACAATAAAAAAAATAATAGTTGAGTTTTTGTTGACTATTCTGTTTAAATGTTCAAATACCATTTGTTCTCCTTTATTGTTTATAGTCTTTTGTGATAGTTGTGTGTGGGTCCTCGGTTTCTCCTGAGTAGTGAAGCGGCCCACTGTTCTTGACAAAAAGCCTCCAGGTCCAATAAGTTCGTTGCTTTCCCAGCATGCTCTGCACATTTCATTTCTTCCCAACAGTGACTTTATGATTTTGAGATTCAGCGTTGGCACTCAGGACAATTGAGGGACTCATACACAACAGTTACAAAAGGCTGCAAGCAGTCATTGATTCTCAAGGAGACGCCACATGATACCAAGAACCGGGCATATGTAAGGTTTTGAAAAAGATAATTTGTGTAAATTCAACTATTTTCTTAAGTGCTTAAGAGCTCACTTGCTTCTCACTTCTTGGCTCATTTGACGCGATTGAAGTGTCGACATAAGTCATTTAGCCTGATTTGTGAGCAGGTTAATTTTTGGACAGGCGTTTTGGACAGGTTCTTTAAGAAGAACCACAAAGAGCTGAATTATTCAGACATCACTACTTTAGGGCACTACTAAATAAAAATAACTTTTACCAACATAATTTAACAACAAAAATACAACTTTTTTTTTTTTTGCTAACATATTTTAAAGGGATAGTTTACCCAAAAATGAACTTATCTCTCATGATTTACCCTCAAACTATTCCAAACCTGTTCTTTATCTATTGAACACAGAAGAAGATATTTTGAAGAATGTTGGTAACTGA